TACTCCAATTTCTGAAAGAGTATAGGGTTTCCTGATTGAGCAGGGGATTGGACTAGAAGACTTCCAAGGTCCCTTCCAATTCTGTTATTCTGGGTGTTAAACACTAAATAAATGAATAAATGACACAAGATTTGTGTAATGGTTTGTTGTTTCTATCCTATCTGTTACACATGGACTGATGCATTCAGAAATTGGAGTATTGCTCTACTTACTGATGTTACTATGTAGGAAAATAAAATTAAATCTGTGTAGAAAAAATTACAGTGAGACTAAAGACTAAATAACTAAATTAAACATCTTAGACAGCAGTGCAGGAAATGGACTAGATCTTTGTTAAAAAGATAATGTTGTTTATTAGGCAAGGTAGAAAACTCATAGTGTTGCTTGCTTCCAAAGTCAGAAAGGATAAAGCAAGGCAATATATGTGCTCAATGATCAAATAATACTGCTTAGACTTGTAGACACCTCTTTAATACAGGTAGTCCTCACGTTAGGACAGTCACTTAGTGATGGTTCAAAGTTATGACACTTTCTCTCCCAAAAACATTTATGACCTGGTCCCGAAGCTATGTATGTTGCAGCACCACTACAGTCATTTGCCCTTATGACTGACCACAGATATGCTGCAGTATGCCCCCTGCCTATTTCTCCCACAGGGGCTTGGCCTGCTTTGCTAGCCCACTTGGTTCCACGTGCTCTTCTTCACCCCATCACCAATTGTTCATTTACCTTCAAAGATCTCCAGAGTTCAAGATGTTAAGGTAGGAAAGGCTGGGCCACATAGCAGAAAAGCAGCTGTCTTTTTTCTGGCAAACCTGTTTTTTCTCCCCCATTGCTAGCCTCTCCCCCACCATTAGCTCCACTAGTGCTAATTACACTAGTGGAATTAATGATGGGGGAGAGGCATATGCAGCCAATGGCAAAGCTCTCCTTCCAGCAGGCCTCTCTCCTCTTTGCAAAAGCATTTGTAGGAATAGGAGATCCACTGTGTTCCTTCATGAGGATGGTTGAATAACGGAAAGAACACGTGGGTATTTGAAGTAGGAGATGAAAAGAATCAAGCCAGTGACCATGGACTATACCCATCATAAATTGATGCCCACCTGATGTTTTGCGCTACTGATTTATACCAGAGACAGCATTGCCATAGTAACCTGAGGAGGTGGAAATAGTACTCCAAAACATCAAGCAGAGACAATATGTTACAGAGTATTGCTACTAAACACCTTGCTAATTGCAATTGAGTCACAAGCCTGTTGTCTTCAGTGTGGAAATCTTGACATAGAAGCATGCACAGTTCAGATATTTTTTACTTGTAAACTGCCCAAAGTCAGTTAGGTGAAAAGGGTGATCTGGAAATTAGAGATAGGTAGATAGGGAGGCAGGCAGGCAGGCAGGTAGACTCATTCACTCACTCACTCACTCACTCACTCACTCACTCACTTAGTAACTAATATATTTGTTGCACCTCAGTTGAACCATTTCTATGCCCAGATTACCCGAATCTCCATTTTATAAGTACCAAAACTATTTCTAAAAGAAAATTGATTTCTCCCTTCTCTACTGAGGTACTTTTTACCATGTTTATTGAGAAGAGGAGACTGAAATAACATCTTTAAAAGAACCTTTGATATATGATATTTCAACAAAGGTATCATTTGGTAGAGGATTTTCTAAATAAGTTTTGATTTTAATGCCATACCTGGATTGGAACCATACTTAGGAGATTTCAGCAGATATTATTTAAAAATGAACTTAGCTGCCTCATAAACATCTCTTGGGCTTTTGAATCTAGAACCAGTTTGAAGTGGCATGTATTAATCATGGTACATTTCAGGCCAACTGTCAATTGTATGCTTACATTTGCAAAGATATGGCATTCCAATAGCCACAGTCAGCTATTCTGTGGTTACAGACTGAATCATTGAGGCCATTAGTTTCTGGGACAGTAGTGGAGGCCACTAGTGTTTTAATCATGGACTGTTAAAATACAATGAAGTGGCAGAGTTCAATGAGCTTTTTACCCCATTGTGTCCGAAACAATTCCCTCAGGCTGCATGGCTTGATAATTTGGTCTCAGGTGGCTCATGTTCCAAGAACATTATTAAACATGAATGCTACAATTCCTAGTTGCCAAGTTAAAAGAGATGAGATAGAAAAAAAATATGCCGATGGTCTCCTCATTAACCTTATTCCAGTGCTTGGAAAAAAGGTACCAGTTTGCCAGATTTGTCTGTTGCAATACCTGGAATTAGCTACTTTCTAGGACTTAATCAATCAATCAATTAATTAATTAACTAATCAGGAAGATTCTGATTAGTTAACTAATTCATCCCTAGTAAAAGTACATTCAAACATGTATCCATCTTTGCTGAATGTAGACATCATTTTGTATAAGATACATACCATATAATGGTTTTTTTTTAATAAAATTGAGTGATGGAAGCGCCCATCATTCTAAACTCCCTGCTCCATGCAAGAATCCAAGTTAAACCACACCCAAAAGACAACGGTCTAGGAGCTCTACTTGGACATATTTCATGAGAGGAATTCAACATCTTTCCAATTATTAACTCTTAAAAGATTTAATCAAAACCTACTTTTTTATAACTTATACCCATTGTCCTTGACTTTCTTCAACGGCATCTTTTCAGATATTTGAAGAACGCTAGTGTATATTCACCACCACCATCACCACCACCACCACCAAATCAGTATTCCAGGTTGGATATGTTACAAAATAAAGTCAAGTCATTCCAATGAATCAGACATTGTGCTTCATTTGATTTTAAAATTTCATTTCCATTTCTTCCAATCACATCAAATTGCCAACCTATCTTCAGGTTGTAGTTAAGTACTGGTACAAAAAATATGGACTGATTGCCTCCAGTCATGGCCATCCTTTTCACTAATAGAAATTCTTCTTTCCTGAACACTGAAGCCTGGAGTAGAATATTCATGATACGGGGGGGGGGGGGACCCAAGAAGGATCAAATTAATTCTACCCTATCCGCTGGATGGTGCAGAATAATATTGCAGTAGAAGATTAAGCAGAGGAGGATCAACCAAAGTTCAGTGTTCTATTTTTCTCTGCCTGATAGAAAAATATATCAGTTTGTCTACACAGAACCCTCTATGACATGGGTTTCAAACTCACAGCATCATGTTGTTGTTACATCACATATTGTAACTTTTTTCCCCTTCGCTAAACTGGGGGTGGGCATGGCCAGCACATGACGTATCTGGCCCGCAGGCCATGAGTTTGACATCCTTGCTCTATAATGTCTTAATTTAAATACAGTTGTTATTCAATCTCTTAGAACCAGGCTCTGGGAGAAGCTAGCTGTTTCTTCTATTTATGCCCCTTTTTTGTCAATTATGAAATTAAATAAGATGGAATCAAATTCATTGTAGTGCTTTAGGGCAGCAGTCCCCAACCTTTGTGACTTGCCAGCCCAGCTTGGGACTGAGAAGGGGAACTGGGCCGTGCAAGGCCAATTTCAAATAGGCCACTCCCCAGTAGCCCAGCCACTTATGCAGCCTAATTCTGAATAGGCCACGACCTGGTAATGGGCTACAGCCCAGGGGCTGGGGATCCTTGCTTTAGGCTACCTATAATGTGCATTCATAAAGAAATGGTTGTGCAAGATTGCATTTTAGTGCCCCTACTTCCTAATTCTTATATTTGTTCATTAGTCTAGGTTTTAATAAAACCTCAGTTTCCTCATTCCCAGACATGCTCAGCAGTAGACCTCTTTTTGGCCTGTCTATTTAATAAATTTAAATGGCTGCCCATTTCATATACATTATGCAAGGCAGTGAACAATTAAAACAAATAAAAATACAGTAAAACGGGGATTTAAAAAGCAAAGAGTTGCCAAGAACCTTCATAACTTCCTACACTCAGATTTTTTATAAGTGGACAGTGCAGCAATCCTCCTTTTAGCATATATGGGCTTGAGACAGGGCCTCTGTACTCTTGTCCATTCTTGCAGTGGGGAACTAATCATTAGCTACAATAAAACTAAAGTAGACAACTTCTCCAAAAGATAAGTTATAGCTCTCATTCCTGGAAAATCAAAAGCTTCAGAATGTTTCAAATTAAGGTTTTTAAACATTTGGACACATCCTTCCAAACCATGATAACCTGGAATCATCAGCAAAGAGATGTTACTACTAGGACATATAATCTCTCAAACGCAATTCTGCATATTGCTAACTGCCGCAGCAATAACCATATTCCAGCTGCAATGGAAATCATCAGAGCCAGGATCATTAGCCACCTGTTATATATACATAGGTGCTTTTCTATTCCAAAACAAGTTCTAGTGATGTTATTCAATCAAAAAATTTGAGTGTTTGTGGCAAGTATCCCATTCTGTATCAAATTCCTTTCTGAGACTGGAATCTAGCCTAGTTGTCATGTGCCGTTGCTGCTTGAAATATTGGAATAAAATTCCCTTTTTTCTCCCCAACTCTGTGGCTATCTTTATCTTGCGGGATAATTTTATCTCCTCCAAATTGATGATACAACAGGCCTTCAACACTGATATTCAGTGTGACTTAAGGAAAACCCCATTCCTTTATGGACAGGACTTACGCAGGAGCTCTGTCATGTACAAAAGCTTTCATTTTTGTCTTTTACATATTTTTTGCCATTTAAAAGGAAGTTTCATTAATGTCTCTGAAGAAAATATATTTTGCACGTGTTGAATAAAATATGTCTCCCTTTTCATATGCTCTGATAAGGTTAGCTAATATCTTCTTAATCTATTCTCATGTCTGTTCAGAGGGGAAAACCTTTCTAGTGTTAGCTAATAACTCACCAAGTACTGTATCTGCTATGTATTGTGGCCATTATCAATGTTTTAGGGACTTACGTGTTTTGCAGTTTGGGTAACTGTGCAAGATCCAGTTTTGATATTGTTGCAAGCAATCAGCCTGCATCAGATTAATTCACTACTAAAACAAGAGACAGATGGAAATAGCCCCTTTTGCCCCAAAGAGAATGTTGTAGTCTTATGTTATGTTGGTGGGAGTATAAAGCAATACAAACATTTAAACATTGATTTCATTACAAATAGAGCTTTCACTTGGTTCACAAGAACCATTTGAATTATTTTGTTAGCTTCATTAGCTTTCCTACAATGAATTAACTGATCAGTGTGTGTTTTTGTGTTTGTGTGTGTGTGTGTGTGTGTGTGTGTATAGAGAGACAGATAGAGAGAAACTAGTGGACTCCTCAAGCAATTTATTCTATAGACATATCCTATGTAGACTATATGGTTCTGTTAGCTAGGATGAGTTGAATCTGTATTCTTATTCAGTGTGAATGAAGGAGATGAATTAGTTTTATTGATTGGGATAAAATTATGAACCTCAATTTTGCCAGATCAAATGAAGAGTTTCCCAGACGTAATAGGAATGTTATTGAATATTTGAAATCTATGGAAATATAATTTCTATTTTGTAACAAAATATTGCCTTATCATGGAAATTATGAATTTTGATATGGATTGGTTTGGTTATTTTGCTTGCATTTAAGGTTAAAATGATAAATTATAACTTGTATGGTGTTCATAAAAATAAGCTCTTTTCGAAGCGTATTTTATCCTTTGGAGAAGTATGCAGATACAGGGATATCTTTCTATCATGCCAAAAAGACAACTTCTATATTGGTTAAAATTCAAGAATATAGAAGATATTGCCACATTGAGCTTTATATGCAAGGAAATTCCTGTATCACAGAACCTGAATATAAGCATGTTTAATTAATTATCTCTGCCTTGCAAGAGTTTGTGTTTATTTGCCAGCTAAGCAACTAAGACGAAGAATATTGTTACCTTTTTTCTTCTCTGGTTGTCACTGCATCCGTGCTTATGTTTCTGGGTGCAAGATTCTTGTTAGGGATTGACTTCCTTCTTCCAGCCAATTTTCCCATGTCCAATTTGCAATGGGAAAAAATGTTGGAAGGTAATGTTTGGTGAGCTCTTCACGCTTCCTACTGTTGTAGTAAATGAAGAACAAAATAGAATTTTGTGTGTGTGAAAGTCTCTTGGAATGATGAGCATAGGTTTGGCGTCAGCCCGTATCATTTTACAGATCATCTCCAGTAGTTTGCTTTGGTCTGCAGGTTGCTTTGATGCCTGTTTATTCAGCTAAAAACAGCCAAATCAAGCACTGGGAAGAAAGAGAATTATATAACACCTTAGCCTATTCAAAATCAGCAGAACAGACACACACACACCCAAAAAAACTGTTGTGATTTGAACAAACTGTTCTTTCTCCTGTTGTCCTATAATCCATGATCAATACATTGAATTTATACGCATTCCATTTTTCATACTAATAGAGCTGGAAGTTGCAAGGCTAAGCACAGATGGAAACCTGGAAGATCTTAAATTCCCACAGAATACTGGCTTTGGCAGCACCATCCAGCTGTCAGCAAATACATTGAAACAGAACGGTCGAAATGGTAAGCTCAGCTCTTTACTGCTGCTTTTAGGATTGGAGAAATGTTTTCTTTTAAGTTTAAATCATAGCACTTTCACTATCTTTCCAGCTATAGCACATTAATAAAGTAAGTCAAATTGCTTTATTGAATCAAGCAGACAACATACTATGGCTGAATCCTCAAAGCAAAGTCTCTGGATCCTTAGTTGCCCTGGTCACTAGCAGCAGCTGTTGCTGCTGCTAAATGCCAGGTCAGCCTGCAATACATTCTTCCCCATCTGAGATATATTGTATGTGAGAGGGCTGGGTTGGCATAAATAACAAACATCAGCCTGAGCATAGAAGGCAGTTCCCTCTTGGAAATCTGACTACTCAGCTACAACTCCAGGGGCAGGGGAAGTAGCTGTAGTCATTTGGGAGAGTGATGGCTTTGAGAGGTACTGCTGTGCAGATAACCATATGAAGTCCTGTTTGTGCAGTAGGGCTTTAGGGATCAGGTGGAATTGCTGTTGCCATACCAGGTGTCCTGGTGCACAGCAGCCTCTCAATCAGGACACCATGATTCTGTTGCTAGACTTACAGTTGAGTTTTTCAACTTATATTACTTTCAATCTGCCTTCCTTGCATNCCCAACCGTTAGATTATATTCCTAACAACTCCCATGTGGCAAATAATTAAATAAAATAGATAAAAAGCATTCCTGACTACAGTCCCCATTTGAAAAACCTGAATACAATTAGAACCAAATAATTAATTCAAAAATAATTAACCTCTGAGGCCACTAGAGCTTTTGCTGTAATCCTCTTCTTGTTTCTCCTCATGGTGTCCGAGGACTAATACATATAAGTTACTTAATAATGTGACGAGGAAAGGTTTAAGGAAGCCTTTTGCTTCCTGACAATTTACTTGCTATTGTATAATGTAGGGTAGCAGTAGCATAATTTCCCAGTTAGCATTGTTCATTCTGTTATTTAATTCTGTTATTTAATTAGGTCCTCCTTGAAATCAGTGATTCAAGTACCAGTGTGCCCACTAGTTTTTTATAACTATTCTAATTGTGTGAAATAATTCATTGCATTTGGTTATTAAGAGATGATATTCCTCTTGTTGAAATCCATGAGCAAAAGCCAAACTTGAAAAAAATCAAAATATTTTTATTCAGTTATCCCTGAAGTTGCTAAGCAACCAAAATGTCAATTAGTTTCCTTGGGAGTAAATATTGACATACTGACCTTCAGATTTACTGGCTTCACAGCATTTACGCATCCTATAGGGACCAGCTTGTTCTTTTTTTAAAAAAAATAAGAGGTTCTACTACCCTTGGTATTATTTTAAGTTTTACAATATACCTGAATTATATTTAATAGCAGTAAAAATTTATTTGTCTGTAATACATTTATCTGGAATACATGTGGCTGTAGCTCATTAAAGGATACATCTTTTAATAGTAGTCTGAAAAGGTGCTACCAGACTCTTTCGGATCTCTTTGGAAGTATATATATTCATGGCCAAAGGAGGCAAAATTTTTAAAAATTAGGAATTTTTCTTTCTTATTTCTTTTTTGTTAATTCTTTTTCACATAAGGAAGAAATGGAGGAATGATGCAATTCTAGAATAAGTGGCAGTTATGCTTTGGGTTCAGTTATGATTGCAGCCATAGGAACCCTATTAGAATCATTTTAATCTAGAGTAGGGATCTCCACTTTAAGACTTTTGGACTTGAACTCTCATGGCTGTCTGAGGAATTCTGGGAATTGAAATCTACAAGTCTTAATATTGCCAGGTTTGAAGGCCCCTGATCTAGAATAAGCTAGAATAAAGCTTTGCACATCCATCTATTACCAAAACATACTAATATGTTCTTCAATTATCAGGAATTATCATTATCTTCATTACCTCAGTGAGACACTTAAAGAAGTTGCTGGTTAGTGCAAGAATAATATTGTTCAATATGGAAGTGTAATTCATTGAAAGATACTGTATCGTGACTCCCTTTCCCCAACTGCTAGCTGATAGGTAAAAGATCCCCATTCCAAAAGACAATGTTTCGTATTATTCACTGCACTTAAACTCTTGCTTTTGATGTTACTTGGACCAATCATGTGGGGAAGAAAAGGCAATTTGTTCCGGAAGCCGTGTAATCGTTTGGGAGATGCAGAATAAAGAGACTTGAAGGCCACACATGGTCGCCCTGGGACTTCAGTTTTCCTTTTCCTGCTTTAAGACAAAGCAATATATCAGTTCAAGAACAACATTTTAACACAATTTGTTAATTTTAATAAGTTTAGTAGGCATTCTATTTCACTACTCCAGTCTCCGCTCTCCCTTCTCCAGACATAGGAAAGGACTGAGATAATCCTATGGCACAGATGTAGAGGCCTTCCAGAAACTATTAAAGGGAAATTACAACCCACTGGGATACTATTTTGCAATTCTATGGTGGCAAATGGTGGCAAAGCAATTAGTTTTAAAAGAAAAGAATGCAAATAAAGAAACTTCTGTGTTACTACCATCACCTGCTAAGATAAGTTTCCTCCAGGGCATACAATTGTTTACATTTTCTATTCTTTGTGTCCCCCAAATCACTATTATGCCTTTTCCTCCCTCTTCTTCTCTTCCTCTTATTTCCAAGAATCACACAGCACAGAAAATGTCAGCAGAGCTGTAGCTGAGACACTGGTTCATTTTGACTAGCTCACACTTGATTTCAGGATTTTGTATAAGTTTGATAAATTTGTCTATTCATTTTAGGCCTCCGTGTAGCAAATTGTCCTTTCTTTCAATCCCATTTCTTTCAGAATCTCACTCTATAAATATATCTTCATGGGACATTCATTATTCTGAGCAAATATTTTGTTTCTAATCATATCATAATGATATTTAGGATACCAAGTATATATTTTGGATTTAGAAACCAAGAAAAATATAATTAAAAGTAAAGAAAGGAAAAAGGGGGGGGGGGAAGGTAAAAATTTAAAGAAAAAAGATATATAAAGAAATAATTTCCCATTCATCAAGACAAGTCAATAACTTACCACTTTCTCAAACAGTTCAACCAAAAATTTCTTCATCCCATATCTCATTTTTATCTATTAGCAGATAAAAAGCCTCATCATTTAATCAGTAAATATCCATTAAAAGACAAACATGCAATTTCATATTCTTTCCTTTAAACAATAGCTTATGATTGAACTTTTAGAGAAAATAAATATATTATTTTCTCTAAAAGTACAACAAAAAACTTTTTCTCATATATTATCTCATATCTGTAAACAATTTTTAAAGCTTCATCAATTCAAACTTAATCAAGAAAAAAATCCATTGCTACTAAAAGCAATATATTGAAATTTTTGATCTTTAATCCTTTCAAATAATGTCCTACAAATTAATTGTTTTCATCTTCTCTCAGAAACTCCTTCCCAAGTTTAACACTCTCCTTCAATTTGAACACTAGAGCTTAACATTTTCTCTAAACATGCAACAAAAAACCCCTCNCACGCACAGGCGGAAATGTATGACTAGTTTTTGAGTTTTCAAAAACAATCTCATCAAATTGTTTGAACTTAAGACTGAACTACACTGGGAATGGTAGTTGTTAGCACCTAGACCTACAGTAGTTGAAAGATCAAACACCTCTAGATTGGTGCAATAAATAGTGGTTCGCTAATACGAAATGCATAGCTGGGCTTGTGACTGCTACTGAAGTTGAAAGTCATGAAAAGTGTGCAGGTTTTCCTACAAATACCTCAATTGGAGGAATAGGAAAGTATTATAGTTTGATTAAGAAAGCATAACACTTCAAAATGTCATGAATATGCCTCCCCAAAAACCCCTCCAAGTCACACACATATTATCTCATGGCTGAGCCTGAGAGTCAATAGGCCTATGCTGGAAAAGTAACCAAATTTCTATTTTAATTAGTACCAAGAACTAGATAATAACTCTCACGCTGAGCCCGCAATGTTACAAAGTAGTGCATCTTTATATATGGCTGTATTAGAATTTCTTTATTGTGATTATATGTACAGCAACTCTGATTAATTAACATTAATCACTTTGCTCACATTAGTAGGTTGCTGCACCACCAATCCTGAAGCAGTTCTACAATTTTTTAAACTCCATTGAGAGAATTTTTCTATTATAGAACAAAAGTTTGTGGATTAGAAATTCTGAGAACTGATTTAATTAATTACCAAATTTTCTGTTTCAGGTGAAATCAGAGTGGCCTTTGTCCTATACCACAATCTGGGCCCCTATCTTTCCACAGAGAACGCCAGCATGAAATTAGGGATGGAAGCCATGTCTACTAATCATTCTGTCATAGTGAATTCTCCTATCATCACAGCAGCAATTAATAAGGAGTTCAGCAATAAGGTTTACCTGGCTGATCCTGTTGTGTTCACTGTCAGACACATTAAGGTGAGGACTTGCTTCCCTGGCAGAAAGCCTCACATTTTGAGATGGATTATTTTTCACTATTCCTGAAAACTTTCACTTCCTCCCCTACCCACAACACTTTTCAGGCAAAGCCAGTCCTTCTCCCCAGAAGTTATCTGAGCTACATAAAAGATATATAACCTTCATAAAGCACTTGGGGTTTTTAATTGTTTTGTAGTAGAAATGAAGTAATTCTGCAGAGCTGACTTTAGCTCTAAACAAATCAAATAATTGGGGGAGGGGTAATTTTTAAAATGAGAAGAGCAATGTTTTTGTGGTGTCCATCACCCTCTGTTGCTAAATGACTAGGAGAACAGAGTTGATTTAATTTAGTTTTTTTTTTCATTGATGTATTTCTTCCCTATAGCAGTCAGAAGAAAATTTCAACCCCAACTGTTCATTCTGGAGTTATTCTAAACGCACAATGACAGGATACTGGTCAACTCAAGGTTGTCGGCTCCTCACAACAAACAAAACGCATACAACATGTTCCTGTAATCACTTAACCAACTTTGCTGTTCTGATGGCCCATGTGGAAGTGAAGGTAAGTGATGGATAAATACAACTATTAAAAATTGGAAATGGTTACAGAATGGAAGGTGGTGTCATGTGTATGTGGGCAATATTACAATTATGCATCTCATGCTCAGCAAATGATGTCATTCACTTGTCTACCCAGTGCCTGCGGGGAGAAACCAGCTTTAATTCACCCTTGGCAAGACAGAGTGGTTTTGGTTTTTTATCCATGCTTGAGGGCCTGGTGATTTGTCATATTTTATGAGGAGGCACTCTTTGACAAAGTTGGTATGCAATTTGGGTCTCCTGGATTCATAGTCCTGCTGGAGGAACAGTTAAAAGTGGTGACTAGGGAAGGACTTTGCACAACTTCATATTGTGTGTCATTTGCACCTTTTCATACAGCTGGGGTTTGCTGGTGCCTGGGTTAATTACTTCTTAGTTTAATTCTGTAACAGATTCTACATGGTGCTGCCCTTGAAAATTTCCTGGAATTTGTGCTTCATGCAGCAATGTGGAAAGTTCTGTGTGCTCCATATTTCACCCATGTTACCCCACTGCAACATAGGTTGCACTGGCTTTTAATTGCTTTTCCGGTACACCTGGTTAGCATCTNAAAAAACTGTTGTGATTTGAACAAACTGTTCTTTCTCCTGTTGTCCTATAATCCATGATCAATACATTGAATTTATACGCATTCCATTTTTCATACTAATAGAGCTGGAAGTTGCAAGGCTAAGCACAGATGGAAACCTGGAAGATCTTAAATTCCCACAGAATACTGGCTTTGGCAGCACCATCCAGCTGTCAGCAAATACATTGAAACAGAACGGTCGAAATGGTAAGCTCAGCTCTTTACTGCTGCTTTTAGGATTGGAGAAATGTTTTCTTTTAAGTTTAAATCATAGCACTTTCACTATCTTTCCAGCTATAGCACATTAATAAAGTAAGTCAAATTGCTTTATTGAATCAAACAGACAACATACTATGACTGAATCCTCAAAGCAAAGTCTCTGGATCCTTAGTTGCCCTGGTCACTAGCAGCAGCTGTTGCTGCTGCTAAATGCCAGGTCAGCCTGCAATACATTCTTCCCCATCTGAGATATATTGTATGTGAGAGGGCTGGGTTGGCATAAATAACAAACATCAGCCTGAGCATAGAAGGCAGCCCCCTCTTGGAAATCTGACTACTCAGCTACAACTCCAGGGGCAGGGGAAGTAGCTGTAGTCATTTGGGAGAGTGATGGCTTTGAGAGGTACTGCTGTGCAGATAACCATATGAAGTCCTGTTTGTGCAGTAGGGCTTTAGGGATCAGGTGGAATTGCTGTTGCCATACCAGGTGTCCTGGTGCACAGCAGCCTCTCAATCAGGACACCATGATTCTGTTGCTAGACTTACAGTTGAGTTTTTCAACTTATATTACTTTCAATCTGCCTTCCTTGCATCCAGAATCAGAAGTGCCCTGGGGTTCGAGACCACCTTAGGCACAAGGCTAGCTGGGCCTTGTCCTTAAGTCACTCTCTCTGCGTTCTAGAAAGGAGCCTGTGGCAAACTATTTGAGCAGCTGTCAAACAAAATAGCTTGGATTTGTTCTGAGCTGGACTTCAGCTATGTCAAACCTATTGAGTTGATTGAGACAAATCTGGCTTGTTATTTGGGAAAGGTTTGAATCTATTGATCCCAAGGAAATTAACAGAATCCTTAGAGGAGCAAGCATGTGTACATATGCATTAGTGCCATGCCTCTCCTGGTTAGTCAAGGCTTCTAAGGAGATGCTGTATGGTTAGTTCAGATTGTGCTTCTTCAAGTTAATCCTTGAAGGAGAAGATCTAATCTATGCTTAAACAAGCAGTGATCTGCCCACCCTTTAAGAAACCATTATTGCACTGAATGGTAGGCACAATTTTTGTCCTATCTCCATCTTCCCCTTTTTTGAGGAATCTTGCTGAAGAGGTGATCAGTGACCTCTTTACCCAAAGGTGGTACTGAGATCCATTGATCACAGTTCTAGATAAACTCTTGTGGGTCTAGGATGAGGTAGTACATATCCGAGGGAGGACGAGGACAAAACCCTGCTCCAAGTCTCCTGAACTGTTCTAAAAGAATATCATAAGAAAATAAGAATATGGACAGTTCCCTGGCCCATCTAGTTCAGCAGTTTACTCTCTCAGTGGCCAATCAACCTCACAAGGAAGCTTTATATTGGTCAATTGACAATAGCAGAAATGTAGGATAGTAATGTTAAATTTGATCATAACAAAAAGGCCTAGAAGGAAATTGCATGATTAAATAAAGCTAAAAACATTTGTCTCTAAGTAGAGACAAGTAGACATGTCAAGGGCCACATTCCATCTCTCTGCAATTTGTCGTATAGTTCCCAGATTAAGAATGATGGATTTAAAAAATCCATGTATTAGGAAAAATGTGTACAAAATGCATTATCAAAAGAAGGTTGCTTGCCAAAATAGCTGAATGAAGTTGCATTGAAAACATATATATTAGGAAATATATGCATCAAAATGTATACAACTTTAAAGATTGTTTAAAAATGTTCCCGAGCACAGTATGGGCGACGGTGCAAAAGGCAAATAAGTTTTTTTATTTAGGCTTAGAACACTGTGTATAAAACATGGTGGTCATTTCTGTAATTTGATTAAAGACTGACCAGAATTTATGAAACTCTTGCCTAAATTGTATATAGTATCATTCCGATTGTTTAACTCAGTCTTTCACAACTTTGGCAACTTTAAGATGGGTGGACATCAACTCCCAGAATTGATGGGAGGCTGGGAAATTCTGGGACTTTTAGTCAACCACCTTAAAGCTGCCAAGGTTGAAAAAGCTCAGACAGCCACAATATCTTTATTTTTAGAAAGCACTTCATATACTGTATTGTACATATTATGACCAGCCTCGCATTCAGTGGTTTTGGCACAGCAGTGGCAATGCATTTGCAGTACAATATGCTAGAAGTCTGATTTCCATTCACTTTACATTTACTGGGATATATGACCATATCTGTTATGACTGGGAACTTAATAACCCAAGATGTAGGGCTTGTTATTATGGCTTTGAAATTGGAGGCACATACTCAGCGACTGTGTTTTGTGTTGTTTTATATTTGCTCTATCCTTTCTTTTTTTGTAGTTATTTATGGTCTGTGGGGATTTGGATTCCATTTTTTGACTATTCTGGCTGCCCATAGTTTAGCTTCATGGCTATTACTTTTTTGTTAAAACAAGAATATAAAGACTTTTTAAAAATTAAAAGTGTGTTTTTGAAAGGGATGAAGGGGTTAGATGCATATCTGGTTCTTTTGGGAGGAGAACCTATGCCTTTATTCCATTCCAAAACCCCACTATTTCTACCCCTCCAAACACATTAACTTTATTATTGTCATTGGCCAGTATTAATTAACCTGATAAATGCTATCCTGATAAACACCAACTACAATTGAAATCTTCATGTTAAGAAGTAAAGAGAAGGCAAAAAGAAAATGTAATAAGGCCAAGTTATCAAACTGCTGAAACTCCACCTTCAAGGCAGGAAATGAAGACAAATACAACGAGGCCAGGGCAAACTTGAGAAGAGGCATTAAGATGGCTAAACAGAAATACAAACAAAAGGTAGAGAACCAACTGGAAGATAATAACTCAAGACAGGTATGGCAGGGGCTACAACACCTAACCAACTATAAGGGCAATATGAAAAAGAAATAGCCAATGCTAATGTCCTGCTGGTGGAGGAGCTAAATAGCTTCTTTGCCTGCTTTGAGATCAAAAGACCAGTGTCTGTGGTTCTAGCCCAAAGGCCCTCTAACCTCCAGCCACTCACCCTAGA